TTTCTCTAACAGGTTTTAGCACAAAGAGTTAATGCACCAGGAGAAGTGTGTTGGTCCTCGAATCAACAGGCTGAACTGGTTTTATGCTTTAAGGGAACTGGTGCAGTGTCCTTAAGAGTTAACTCCATATTGGACAATTCAGTGCTAATGACTTACGTCCAATGCCAAGGCTTGATGCTAACGCAGGAAGTAAACACTGAATCACCGTGAGGTCATGCTAACAACAACAACACAGATCACTTCCAGGTAGACAGCTGGCAATTCACCAAACTCATTTATATCTGATGACATTTTTAGCCGTAACTGTAACATTTAAAGATTTACGTTAAACACAGTGGTCTGAACGATCTGACGTTTCTGCTGTGCTTATTTATGTCCTGTGTTTCTTTGCTAGCGTAATTGATAAGCCAACACAGAGGCAAAACAAAGTAGCGCTGTGGGTGGGTCCACAGCAAAACCTGTTTTAGCCACCTAAAAAATTATCAGTTTAATTGCTCACTGTATTTTGAATATTGTCTCGCTTTTTGTTACACAGCAACTGATGGAGGCAGCAGTAGACCAGAAACTCAGCGTTCTGTGAATTAAAGAAACTGCCTCCTGGTTGGAGGCATTGTGTTTACGGGCTGTCTATCTGTCTCTCCATCCCACTCTGGTGAACATGATATCTCAAGAGCACGTTGAGGAGATCTCTTCAAATTTGGCACAAACATTCACTCGAACTTAACGATGAACTTAAGATTTTGGTGTTAAGAGGCCAAAGGTCACTGTGACTGTGTTTGTGTCATTCTCATAAATGCGATACCTCAAGAACACCTTTAAGGAATTTCTCAAAATTTGGCACAAACGTTAACTTAAACGTAACAATGAACTCATTCGAGTTTGGTGGTTAAAGGTCAGTGTGACCCGGTCTATCTCTTTTGTTGAAACATGGTATCGAAAGACTGCCTCAAGGGAAATTCTTCAAATTTGGCACAAATGTCCACTTTGAGTCAAAGAATGAACTGATTAGAATTTGGTGGTCATAGGTCAAGGCCACCATAACCTTGTATCCGTCTCATTCTCGTTAATGCGATACCTCAAAAACTCCTTGATGGAGTTTCTTCAAATTTGGCACAAACGTCCACTTGGACTCAATGGTGAATTAAGTAGAATTTGGTGGTCAAAGGTCACTGTGACGTCACAAAACATGTTTTTGCTGATAACTAAAGAATTCATACGCTAATTGTGACAAAGATTGTAGTTGTCAGTGGAGTCAGGTGTCTTTAAGATAACGACTTTAGTCCCCTGTTAGGAAGGTCTATCTGTCAGAAAGGTAAAGCAATGAAAATATTCTAAATACAGTGAACTGTCAAACTGATAATGATATTCTTAGGTGGCTAAAAACAAACTCACTGAGGCTGCGTTTGCTCAGCACCATTTCATTTTATGTACGTGACATTTTATGTACGTTTTCTTTCTGGAAGTTATTGTAAATCATGTGATGATTCGGTCTGTTGTTGTCTTTGTGTCTGTCTGGGAAAATACTTGATTTGAGTGATTGTTTCACTGGTTATCAGTTTTCTTCTTGTGTAGGAAATGTCGTGACGGAATCACAAAGTAATCGATTGAGCATTGAGACCACTGACCAGGCTAACCCTAACCGAGTCTGTTTAGTCGCCAAACTTTAAACATTCCTTAACTATAACCACGATCTTTTCCTGACGTTAACGTCACTGTGGCTGCCGTGTGCAGGTATTGTAGAAAGTGGCGCATATAGAAATGTTGGCATCAGACATAAAAGCCGTCATTGAGCATCTCACGGTTTTGCAGAATCATCCAATATCGATGTCTGGCAATACAGTTTTAATTATTGTTTTTTATACTGTTAAGAATAAAGATGTAATTTGGGACAGAGTCAGTTGGCATTGGCAGTTGAATTTTAAATGTTAAAAGGAAAGACTTCTGACGGAAATCTGTCAAACATCATGTTTACCTTCTGTCTGATCACCAGTGTCTCATCTATAATAAAACCTGATGTCCCGTCTACAAGATGAATTTAAGGAATGAAGCCCTTCATTCTGTCAAGTCAAGCTCCCTCTGTTTCCTCCAAACACAAACATGTCACACTTTTCGAAATAAAACCGCTGAAAGGCGAGCTGCTTCGTTTAAAGCTGCTCTTCACTTTCTGAAAACTGCGTGTGATCGACGTGTTTCCAAACAGCCGACAAATGAAAACTAAACTCATTAGGCCCATAAATGCACATTAATCGCACTTATGACAGCAGAAGAAGGAGGGAGTGTGTGGTTTTATATTTCCTGTTCAAAATAGTTTTCCATAAAGGTTCATCTTATAGTATTCCATAGAGAAAAACAATCTTGTGTTTAGCAAACATAATCAGATCCCTCTTTATATTACAAGCAGTTGAGGTATGGCACCTGCAGAATCTCCACCGTCATCACCAGCCTCTGATTGCACTTTGGATAATGACGCCCTCTGTCATCCCTGCAGGTGATAATGGATCTCATTAGGAATGACTTGTGGGAATATGAGGCCTCTCTCTGTCACTCTCTCTGTCTGACTAAAATAACTGCACTGCTTTGCAGGAGAAAAAAACCTGTATACAAGTGTTTGACATTAAATTCTCTAGTATAAAAAAGTAAAGACATATCTATATAGCTGATAGATCCTCCTACGAGACTTTTTTCTTCAGGTTAAATACAACAAACAAAAAGGTCAGAGAATGTTGGGCTGCATTCACACACCACCGACTGTTCCTCCTCAGTTTGTCTCAACTTCATCCGGCCCAAAACTGAAAACGCAACGCTCCTCTTACAGGAAGTGTGCAGAGTTGGTCACACGAGTTAGAACACTAGAATATTTTTTGTTGACTAGCGTCATACATGCATGGAATCGATGAATGAACTTCCGCTGGTACGTCCTCAGCATCATACGTCCCTGGACGATCTCAGTGCTGATTGGCTATCGCAGCACAAATCTGCCACTGAAGAGATTTTTCAACTCTCGTGACTAAGCGTATGATGCGAAATTGCGCTATTTGCTTCACTCGCGTATGTCACGTTGTGTCCATTGTGACGCCTGACAGGAATTCGCATCTAATCATGTCTTTATATTGACTTTACATGTACTGCACATAAGAACGTAACAGCAACCAGGTACTGGAAATGACTCAATATGCAAAAAATTGCGATTGCGATGCAGGTCGAGATTTAGAGGTAATGGCAATTTTTACATTTAATTTCCACTGAAAAAAAAAACTGAAAATGATGATGATGTAATTTTTGCTGGGGTCGGTACCAAACAAGCACGTCTGGAATACGATTTGTAGGTCGTTGTATCTCGATAGCACCACAGTGTTTCATTTTCAGTTGTTTGTTGTGACACATTTTATACACATTTTACTGCAATTGACCATTTTGCAGTCCTACCAGGGATTATGGGTGAAGTTCTTTGAAACTGCTGCATTGGTGCACACACATTCTCACTCCGACCTCGTCACATATTGATGTTTGGTCATGGACTGGTTTTTCGTCGGTGTCTGACGCTGACCAAGCGCCGGTATTCGACGACTTCAGAGTGAGACTGGGGTGATTGGTGTGTTTTGTTGTGGATGTTGGGCGAGTCGCTCGATGTCAAACAAAGACGGGTTTTCACCAAATTCGTGGTCGGTAACAGAAATCTGCTAGCGTTGTTACAGCAAGACTCGGGAGATCATCAATCATAAATGTTTGTACAATATTTAATGGCAATCTGTCCAATAACTGCTGAAATTTTCAACCTAGACTGACTGACAGACTGTCTCCAGAGCAACGTAGCTCTGTTAAATTTGGATCGCCTCTTGATTCAGTTCATGGTACCCAACCCTGCGGCTCTGTTTGTGTTTGTGTTGACAGAGCGTACAGCTGTTTGGATCGATAACACCATCAGAGAGTCGTGATCCTTATTGTGTAAAGATGTTTTTGAGTCAAAGAATAACGGCTGTAAACTGACATCCTGGACCAGAACATCTACATTTTGTCTTCTTGAAAGAGGCTGATGTTGCGTGATTCACTTTTAGTGTTGGAACCAGACAGCTGAACATATTCCCCGTACGGTCGGTGTGGTTGCAGCCCAACAGTCTCTCCTCCCAACGTCTCTCCTCCCTTTACAAACCGAAGTTCCTCACCTGGACAGTACTGATGCCAAATAAAAAGGTACTATAAAAACAAACCACTCAGCTGTGTGTAAAATATGAACCAGATAAAAATCCACTTGTTTTTCCCCCCGTTGTTGAACGATACACCATTTACAGTCAACGTAAGAAAATGAATGTAGACTTTTGATTTGAAAAAACAATGTATATTATATATTCAATACAAATGAAAAAAAAATGTGATCATTTTCGTCCAATGCTGAAGATATATATAGGGTTGGTACAGAGGTGCATAACAGTAGGTGTCCAACACTAAAATGTCCCTACAGCGGTGCATCATGGGTAGTCGTTTACATCGATGAGTTGTGGAGAGACATCGTTTAATTTCGGCACTTAGAAAACAATCACAATGAATTTCGCGTCATTGTTTCATATTGAACAAAATTTACAAAGCCATTCAAACAGTCATAACTTTTTCATCAATGTATATATATATTTTTTTTATCTCGTTTTGTTTGTTTTTTATAACTCAACTTCAAAAATTGAGAATATTCAAAATACACTTTAACCTCACTTCGTTCTCTTGGTATTTACAGATATGTACAAGAGAAAAATTACACCCGCCAACCCGCCCGCAGCCCCGCCTCTTTTTTTTTTTTTTTTCCTGTAACATCGGCTTTTCTGAACAGGTAGTGAGATACAAAATCTTTTTACTTTGTACATATGTTTTTTTTCCTTCTATAATAATTTTCCTCTAGAGATCCCCGCCCCGCCTCACATCCAGAACCACACCAAAGTCCAGAGAGTGACTTATCGTAGCAGTTTGACCCCGCCCTGTCCCGCCCCCCCGTCCCCCTGAACACTATATGGATGTACTGTGGGTGGCCTCAATGGCTTCGGGTATGGGTCCTGCGGAGACTGCCTGGTAGGACATTGGCATGGGTGTCTTGCCAGGGCTCTGCCGGAAGAGCCCCCCGTTGGGGGCCCTGTGTTTGCACTGCATGGTGCCGCTGAGGCTGGTGCTGCTGAGCGGGTGGTGCAGGGGCAGCGTGTTGCTGCCAGGGCCCTGGGACAGAGGTAGCGTCCTGCCTAGGGTCCCCCCATGGTGAGGGTGGGGAAGAGGAGGAGGCGGCCCCCCCTCCCCGGGGAGGAAGGTGGTCACAGCGAGGCCCGAGGGCGGGTAGTCCCGCACGGACTCCGGCCCCGCCACCAGAGAGGCCTGGCTGGGCTGCATGCTGCCGATGTCCAGCGCAGAGATCTCGATAGAGGGGCCGGGGATCTGCTTGTGGGCCAAGTCCTCGTCCAAAAGACTGTTCATACGACGATGCACCTGTTCCAGATTCACCTCCTTGTCCTATAAGAGGAGGAGTGGGGGGTGGAAGAGGACAGAGGAGAGACAGGGGGAGGGAGGGGAGGAGGGAGGAGGGACACAGAGGCTGAGATTGGCGATGGGCCGGTTTCTCAGACTGTTTCAGGTCTGCTGGTGCTCCATGCATTCTCAATCTGTCAGTGTTTTAGGACGTGGCCTTTGTTTGGAACTGACGGACTGCTGTCAGACAGCCTCGTGTTTCTGTTTGTTGTTTGGTATGAAGAGCCCAGTGGTAACTGAGGCCACACAAACCAATCTGTATGTGCACCTTGAAATCAAACTTGGCCAATGAATATTAAAAGTTTGATGTCTGGAGAAAAACAATTCTGGAGCCAAACGGACTGAAGGTGGTTTGTTGTAAAGCTGATTTTTCTCAAGGTTTCCATGAGATGTGGTGGACTGACAGACCTCTGGTGAAGCAATGATTGATTCTGGATCGTGTACGTTGGGTATTAAATTTGAAATTCAAGTAATAAGAGAAAAAACTTTGGTCTGAAAGTGAAGTGAGTTGTTGTGTTTGTGCAAATATGTTTGCTCTCTGTGTTCAGTTGTGTATTTCCTCCTCTCTGTGGTATGTTTTTGCGCCCTGCCCTTGGAGCCGGTACGCTGTGTGCAGCAGGATCAGAGAATCGGTTCGCTATCAGAACAATTTAATCAAAACATTGGCTGACACTGCATCTCCTGCTGACTGCAGCCGTGCATACTTGTTAGGCATTAATAGACACTTGAGTGTTTCCCTGTTGAACCACAGGTCTGCTTCAGTACACTGGGTCACAGGAAGGTAAAGGACGAGGTGTAAAGACAAAGACGGGAGGCCTGACTTGCATATCAAGTGAGGCTCCGGGTGTGAATCTAAATTCTCTCCACGTCTGTGTATTTGCTGCGGTGTGAATGAACGCAGCTACAGTCAGCGCAGCCTGTTTTTAAACCAACCAGCCCCTTTACAACAAACGTATAAAGTCAGCTGGTGTTTGTGAATGCAGCCTGGCTTGGCTCCAGCATTGGATTCACTTCAACTCAGCGGTACAATGATATTAGTCACAGTAACTCATCACAGTGACACAAGTGATATTCAGAACAATGCACATGACACATTTAAACTGTATATTAATACACACAGATATTCACTTATGTTTCAGTGTTGTCAGCACCAGGGCCGGAGCCAGGATGTTACACCCCCACCCCCCACCACCCAGACGCCCACAGATAATTTTTAAAAACATGTTAAATTAAGTAATAATTGAGCTTAGTAATAATCCTTTAGATTTTCATCAGTTTTGATGGAATTGGCATTTTGAAAATAAGTCTTTCTCCTGCAGCTCCTCCCTCTCTGTCCTAAGCCCCTCCCACCAGACGACCACGGGCATATGCACACGCATCATACAGTAACCCAGTGTAACGCAGCTCATTCTGTCAGCCTCTCCTTTTCCAGCTCTCTGTCTGTTTATCAGACCACAAATGAGACAAGAATTAGCTGTTAGCCACCCCATGATCCCGCCGCCTCATTCTCCGCTGCTGTGGACCAATTCACCGGGAGGAGAGTGGCAGCAGCTCTGGAGACATGCTGTCGGTAGGCGGCTGTAGCAGCTCTAATACAGCCAGCGCAAACTCCTCAGCACCAGGTGTCCCAGTCACTGGGTCTAACCTGTGTAACAGCAGCAACAGAAAGTTTGCTGATCTGACAGGGAGTCGGGTCTGTCTGGTTCCCCAAAGCTGAGGTTTGTGCTGGCTGGAGCTGCTGCCCGCTCTCCTCCCGCCGAGGTGGTCTGTAGCAGCAGGGAGTGAGGCGGAGGACCCACTGTGATTCGAGGTTCTAGCTAACGTTAGTAAAAGGCTAAACTATTAGCAACATTTTCTCATCTCTAAAACACTTCACTGATATCGACACGTTTTATTTAGTGTATTGTCAGACTCTTTTTGAGCAGTGTGTTTTTCTTTTTTGGGTTGCTCTGCAGTGTAGGCAGTTGTTGCCAATGCTGAAATGGCAACTTTCTCTGCAGGATTCTCCTCCATTGAATCAGACTTTCACCATCTGAAGGGACATGCACGCACATCTGCATTTGTAAAACAGCCAATCGGAACACACTGAAATTACCTGTGACTGGTCAAAGTCTCCCATCAGGTTAGATTTTATAAATGGCAAACGACAGAGCCAAGAGGAGGAGCAGAAGTCTAGTTTTCTCTCAGAACAAGATTTTCATACAGGATTTTTTGCCCAATTTCAACCGACAAACCACAGGGTGGCATTTGTTGTAAAGCAGCCACAAGATATGCGGTGTAGTCAGAGGTTAGCCCCGACTAAAGCTGTCAGTAGAATATTAAGAGTAGTGCACTGTTTGTTTGGCTGCACTGTAAACTGATGTACATGTCGTTGGATCTCTGTCCCACCCTACAGGGACTTTCTGCTTCCTTATATTATGTTGTTATCAGAGGTGTTTCAAACTGATACCGTCAGATGGCGTTTTAAACCCCCTAAAAAGTCAGGTTTTGTCCCAGATCTCAAGAATGAGCGCTTAATGTTTCCCTCCTGTGTTTAATTTTTTTTTAACATCTGTGAAACAGGTGAAAAAAAAAGTTTTGCTACTTTACTTTTTATCTGTGCAAACAGGTGCAAAAACTGCGAGGAACTTAAAAAGATTATCCTCGCAAAATCTTTTTTCCCCATCTGTTCTCAAGTCATAAACACAGAAGGAAAACAATTTTTACCAGACTTAGATAATGGATTTTTTACTTGTCTCTCAGGGCTACCGTACATATGTCTCCCCTTCACCCGAAACTAAATTCTAGCTGGAAAAAAATAGTTGAATTGCTGATTTATTTATGTATTTCCCTCAGCATGAGCCTTTTAATATCCCCAGTGTTCTGCAGTCTGTAACGTTACATTATCAAATGTAAAGAAAGTCACTTCCCCCTAAAAAGACCGTGACCTCTGCGTGCTCGATGGCAGCTACGGCCCTGATCAACAGGAGAGCGACTAACGAGAGGTTAATGGATTAATTAGTGTGTTGTCTCTTTAAGGCCGACGAGAGGCAGCTATCGTAAACAAAAGGCTCTTAAGATGAAGATGCCTTTAGAGTAAAGTCTTTATGTCGAGGTAGAGTGGTGCAGACACGGTATAATAACCAGCACAGAGAGCAGCTTGTGAAAGCACACTCGAGGAAACCTCAGAGTCTCAGTGCATCTTGATCCACTGTGGTGGAGCACTGCTGAGGCCAAGCATCTGTCTCCGCCTTTGTTCAGACCTTAAAGGAACACGTAAACATACCAAGTGTTCCTCCACCAGGCCCGAGCAGGTCTGAATGATCCCTCTCCAGTCTCAAAGAGCTCCTCTCAAAGCCAATTAAAACATCTCAGTTCAGGTTATTGTTTCAGGACTGGCATCTCATTAAATTATGTTTTTAGCTGCGTCAAACTGGCGGCCGGCCTAAACAAATAAATGCCTGGGATTAAACCTCAGCCGGTCGTTAAAGACAGGCTGCTGATGTAAGTGCAGAGGAAGAAAATAACAGGCGTCTAAAAGCCTCCATTAATTTGGAAAACAAACAGCTCCTTTAATGAGTGCTGCCAGTGGGGGGGATTTGAAATCACTCTCCCTCCTGTGACTTTGCTGAAACTGTTGAGTGGGTTGTGCTCGAGTATGATAAGAACAGTTTCTGGTTGTTTTGTTTTGGAGTCGAGTGGAAACATTTAAACCCTCTTTCTTAAGAACAGGCTGCTTTGATCTCCACATCGCTAACCGGCTAACGGTTTTAGCCGTTCTTTGACTGGAGTAAAACCTCACATTATCTCACTGTGGGTCTCAGCTGGTGTTAATCAATAGGCTGTTATTCACTCCCTCAATTAGCTTTAAATCTGAGGTCGGTCACAGAGCGGCAGAACAAAGCTCCGCTCTGTAACATCCAGTCTGAACGGTGGTTAACGAGGTGTGTTTGGAAAGGCAGCGAGTCGCATCGCATCTGAACTTTGGCATTATTTGGGTCGCCTCCAGCTGCCGCCTCAGCTGACTGAAATCTGAATTTTTTGGCTTCATAAGGCAAAACTGACAGTTAGCTAAGTGAAACTCCTGGACTCAGTGTCTGAAATTAACCTTTTGACTCAGCGTCCAAGGGGGCAGGTCATGAAACAAAACACTAGAGAAGTATATTTATAATTTATAATTTATATTCCAAAATAATAAACGTATCATGCCCCCTTGACAGGTGGCGAACCAGCCAACCAGCGGCTTATCATTACAACGCAGCTGCGTTAAAATGACTGCATCCTGATGCCGCTGAGAAAGGTGACTATTGGCGTCAGGTGTCTGACACCAAAGTCTTATTGTTACATGACTTGGTACAAACATTTACCCACCAGTGTGATGGATAGTGTTACATTTACTCGCCAAAAAATCTACCCGCATTTGGCAGCTGTTAATTTAATTTCGCCGCTAACCAATAACGGTGACTGGCGCACATTATGCTAATGTGAAAGGATGGGTATTTTCGTCGGTGTCTGACGCTGGAAGTCACCGACCAAACGCCGGTATTCAATAACTTTAGAGTGAGACCGGGTTTACAAGGTTTGGCTTTACAATAGTGGGGTTTCCATCCACCTATTTTTATTCGCATTTTCAAAAATTGTGAAAAAAAACTTGGATGGAAACACCAGAAATTCGAAAAATGGCCGAAAATTCGCAAAAAAGTTTTACGCTTGGAGGGGGTGGATTTGTCAGCGTATCGATAAAAGGAAAATGAGACTTTTTGCTATGGAAACAGGTTTTGCGAATAAACGATGACGTACCGGCACACAGATCCTCAAATGTGGACAACTACTTCCCAAAAGTCCTTCACATGCCTACATTCCCATACACACGGAGAACGACGCGGTGGTCTCCTTCCAGCTATTTCTGACAGTACTCTTAACATTAAACTTCTTCTTTGTCGTCTCTTGGCTAGGTACGCTGTGAACGCTGACAAAATGCTAACCAGAGTTCTCCCAAGAGCCGACAGGTTCATCAGGAATCTGTCCATGGTCAGTTGTTGAGTGTCAGTTGAGTGTGTTGTTCTTTACAGTGGGCATAAGGCGCTATCTTATGACGTCATCTCATGGCGCACTCTTCTCTGTTTTTATTTTGTTCATTTTTCATGAGAAGCGCCACCTACTGCTCTTCCTGTTGACTCCCAGTAATCGCAAAACAATAACGAATGGAAACGGGCATAAATTTGCATTTTCTTTTGTGCATTTTCACAAAATTCGCTCAAAAATTTCGATACATTTGGATGGAAACCCCACTAATCTTAAGGGAAGCGAGCACTGGCCTCCCAGGTGAAAGTTGCTGGTTGCTGGACCCGCCCATGCTACTTGGACTTTCACCCCCTTAACTTACGTTGTTGTCCACCCGTGTTTCACCCTGACGCCACCGGGTGCCGCTACAGAATAACGGTGACTAGCCATGTATCATGCCAATGTGGAAGGATGGCTTTTTCGTTGGGTGTCTGACGCCGGAAGTCACTGACTAAGTGCCAATTTTAACGACTTCAATGTGAGACCGTGTTGAGACAGCACAGACCGATACCGATATGTATACATCTGGCAACGATGCGAAGTTGTCTTCACCCATTTTTTATTCTAAAAATCTACAGAAATGTTACAACCCATTTATCTTTAACAAACACCAGGACAGATCATGTTGAGTTTATAAAGAGCTATAAATAAAATGGAGGTGTGGTTGTCTTCTATCAGGCATGCATGGAAAGGCACTGAGCTTGTTTGCAGGGTTCTTTGTCATTTCCATCACAGTGTGTCTGTTTTTTATTCAGCTCAACACGTCAGCAACATGTAAAGGTGAGGTCAGAGGTCAGCCCTTATGAGATGTGTTCACACAGTTAAAAATGAACAACTGAAACAAAGCAAGGAGAAACAGAAAGGCACTCTAAGATCCAGGAGGGTTTCTAATGAGGGGGGGGGGGGGGGTGCAGTGTTAAAGGTGGAGCAGCCAAGGCCCGGCATCACTTAATCAACCTTAATGATCATGTCGTCTGCAAAGAGAAAAAAAGCCCAAATTCAAATCGATTGCAATTAAGACCAAGCTGTCTGTTTTCAGATCAGGAACCAAATTAATTTGGGCCAGTTTTTTTCTTTCGTTTAGAGCTGAAACGTTCGGTTCTGGAAATAATTTCCTCTTCAATTTTCTGATAAGGAAATTGATAATTAGCTTAATTGGTTTTATCGGTGGGAGTTTTAATGAGCTAGCAGAGAGTTTAACTCCGAAATGTCTGATTTAAGCTTTGTTTTAATGGGAAACTTTTTTTTTGTGTGTGTGTTAAGTTTTTCATCCCCTGACACGTTTAAGCTCCCACCTTTAAAAAAAAATCTCATTTAAGGGATCAGAAAATAAAAATTCTTGATATTTTATCATGAAATTATTTAGTTTATGGTTGAAATGGAGGGGAAATTAATAGATGACATTAGTTGCAAAGCTTTCTAAGAGTTGGGAAATGTTTTAAATAAAAAGCCCTGCATGTTTATTCTCATATTTACTGTGATATATTTATTTCCAGAACTCAGGCCACAGAAAATCAGGTCACGTTTCTGCTCAGCTGTAAATTTACAACCGACCAAAAATCAACCGTCAGTAAAACAAAGGACCTTGGCGATGGCACAGATATGTTTTTTTGTTGTTTTTATTTTTGATAATTGTATAGGAGGTCTATTCTGACCTGTATCAATAGCTTCTGCTTCATCCCAGCCTCTCTCTCTGTCTGTCCAAATGTCCCTCCTCCCCTCCGATGAAGCAGTTGTAATGTCATTATATGTCAATGGACCAGAAACCCTTGCCAGTCTGTAATCCTTAGTAACCTGCACGAGATCATAGACAGTCAAGTGTAAATTAAAAAAATCAAAAGGATAGATGGAGAGAAGGAGAGGAGATAGATAACACGGGTGTCCACATTGACATATAATTTGCAATAAGACGTGACACAGTGAAAGTACCAGGAGGTTATGGGCGAGGATGTTGGAGACAAATCTTATTGCTACAGGGCGACACACCCAACGTTCACTGTCTGCTCACACTTTAGTTTATGGATCCACGTCAAAGCTCTGCTGCCATTTTGTCCCCTGTCACATGACACAAACCTGCCTCCTCATGCGTGTGCGTGTGTGTGTGTTTGGCACAGGAGGTGAATGTTGTGTGGAGGTAGAACTTAGAAATGCAGGTCTGAGGTCAGTTTATGTTCAAGTGTAGCTTAAATTAAAGTGTTGAGTTGATGTCCCAGTTCCAGACTACATGCTGTTACTGTACGGGGTACGAACAGGGTCAGGGTCTGATCACTGGTTTTATTTTGGCTCTGAATCCTTTACTAAACATTTAATCTGTTTTCAGATAACAAACAACAGTGTAGAAAATGCAGGGCTGCAGAATCTTTCAGCTAATAAATGTTAATCCCATCAGCAACATGATGTCAGGACAAAATTAAACCTTTGTGTTAATGTGCTCTCTGCAGTCGGTGTGTGCGCTCAGCTGAAGATCATTTGTGAGGAAACAGAAACATCCCTCTGTGCTTCCTGCAGTCCAACAGAGCGATGAATCTGAATTTCTCCAGCTCAGTGTTTCCGAACCTGAGGCCTGAGGGTCGCGACCTCCACAAGAGGTCACAGAATTGATTCAGTCTGTTAACGTTACACATTCTCTGCTGCTCAGCTCATTGTCAGGTTGTCAACATCAGTTAGCTGCAACTAAAAATCGTTTACAGAAGCTGATTTTAGATTTAATTAACTAGGGATGGTGTACGATTTTATAACGGATTTTATCGTGATGAAAGTAACACGATCAGATAGAAAAAGAAAGGGATAGTGCACCCCAAAATGAAAATTCAGCCATTATCTACTCACCCATATGCCGAGGGAGGCTCAGGTGAAGTTTTAGAGTCCTCGCATCACTTGCGGAGATCCAAGGGGAGAGGAGGTAGCAACACAACTCCACCTAATGGAGGCTGACGGCGCCCCAGATTCAAACATCCAAAAACACATAATTGAAACCACAAAATATCTCCATACTGCTCGTCTGTAGTGATCCAAGTGTCCTGAAGCCCCGACATAAAAAGCTGTTTGGAAAAACGTCCTTTGAACTCTGTTTTTAGCCTCATTGTAGCCTGTAGCTCTAACTGTCTCTCTGTGCACCGCATTCACTTAGAGCTACAGGCTACAATGAGGCTAAAAACAGAGTTCAAAGGACGTTTTTCCAAACAGCTTTTTATGTCGGGGCTTCAGGACACTTGGATCACTACGGACGAGCAGTATGGAGATATTTTGTGGTTTCAATTATGTGTTTTTGGACGTTTGAATCTGGGGAGCCGTCAGCCTCCATTAGGTGGAGTTGTGTTGCTACCTCCTCTCCCCTTGGATCTCTGCAAGTGATGAGAGGACTCTAAAACTTCACCTGAGCCTCCCTCGGCATATGGGTGAGTAGATAATGGCTGAATTTTCATTTTGGGGTGCATTATCCCTTTAAGTTGATTGTGGTGAATTTCCAATGTTGCGATAATGGTAAATATTATTATTATATTAGTTAGTTCAGCTTATTGTACATTTGATGATCTGGTTGTTTTTCAGTGTTTCTGCTGTGATTAGTTGACAGACGTGATTTTCTACATTTGTTTTATTGTTGTTGTGTATCCGTCTTTTACGGCAGACTCTATTCTTATTATTTAACTTTTTTCATCTCGAAACAAAATGTAAGGTAAAGCAATTCCAGATTGTTTGTGTGACATTTTTTAGAGTTTGACTTATATTTTGATGATTATCATATCATGATATATCATGAATTATAGTTTTCATCCAGGATAATTGTGACGTAAGGATTAGATATTGGATTAATATCCAATAAAATGCTGTCAAATCCATGACATTTTTATTTTTTGTTGCAGTTGCAATGATAGCTGCAGCTTTTTAAAAAAATGTATCCCTCTACTAGCTCATAAATTTGTTTTTCTGTTGGTGTATTTGACTCTGTCAGGCTCTTATCAGCGTCCACCTTAATAGTCTTCCAGAAAAAAACAGTACTGATAAAGCTGCTGTACAGTAGACAGACACTTAGAGATGAGCTGGTGAACAAAGTGGAGACAGATATTTTCCTCAAGAGTTGGTGGTGGTGACCAAAACCAGAGCTATAAGAGACTGAATGTCGGACTTTTTCCAAGATGTGTTTTTATTGCATGTTTTCTGAACTGTTTCTGAAGTCGTTCAACATTTGTTTACGCCTTCAAACATCAACAGGCACTCTGAAATATAGACTTTTTGAATTTTATTTTTCAATTTAAAAGGCTTTCCAAACAAAGCCTGTTAAAGTCAGTAGAGAGTATGTAGACTGGTACTGGGACACAACACAAGTCGATCATTTGAGGTAAGAAATAAATGTGTAAACTGTGTGTGTGTGTGTGTAAATGTCATTCAGTTTAAAATCAGCACAACACAGATCTTTATGATGTCAAGACTCTAGTTTCAGTTCTGTTTATTAATATTTATCTGCACTAAACACAATCAATTATCAGACGCTCCCACTGAGTCGTTGTTGTCACTGTTTATTAATATTGGAGTGCATTAATGTTTAATTAACATTGTCTCCTCTTAAACCCTGTGAAGGTGTAACTGTTAGCTCAGCTTTCACAGTGGTTTTTGTTTCATTAAAAAGAGAGCGATCTGGTAATTGACTGCTCGATGGTTTTTATTCAGGAGGCACTTAGTAAGGCTCAAGTATCTATTAGCAACAACAGCAAATGATTTGAACTAACGGTGATAGTGTCACTGTTAATGTTAAAACCCAGGGTGAGCTGCACGTTAAGGTTCTCTCGGATATGATGAATTACTTTTTTTGTCTCTCGACGTCTCGTAAGGATTTCACACTGAAATGGAAAATGTCCAAAAGTGTGAAGAAAGTGTGTCTGTGTTCATCACTGTTATCGTTCTCTGCCTGAGTGATCTCTCTCCTGCTAATTATAATCTCTTTTCAGAACCCTTGGGTGCACAAAACTACCAAAGCCTCACTGTAGAAAATGAGTTTATAACAATAATTCAATAGCAAGCACTTGAATGGTTACGGAGTCGGCACTGTGGGAATTAATCATTAAAGTCTGTGGGTGCACTCAGCTGTTTTAGCAGGGGGTTTGCTGGGAAACATGCAGGACATGCTAATAGCCAGATCCTGACTTGTTGGGCTAATTCGACACTGTTTGCCTAAGGCCTCGAGTGAGTGCGTCAAGGCAAAGAAAAACACTTCCAGTGTGGATCGAGAAGCTGTTGTGTTATGAGCATATTAGTAAAGGTAATGGTCAAGTGGAGTGTGCTGTGTGCTTCATGTGGTTTAGAGATATGCCATACAGAAAGAGATGAGCTGTGGTGTCTGTAAGTTTAGGAGGTGGTGGGTGGGGAGCGATGGACGGATAAAAGAAAAAATGGAGGAGGGTAATAATAAGAGACCAAATTTGATTTCAATCAGTGGCCTGGGCTGATGTGGCACAGAGCACATCTACCTACTCTGTCCTATGTCACCACCCTCTGTCCCCCAGCTCTCCAACACTAACTCTGCTTTCCTACAACTCTCTCCTCTACAGCTGGGTGTACTGGAGCTCCACTAAGTCGGGGCTCGCGTCTGCGGCTGGATCCTTAAAGTAGAGTGTGGCAGTGTCTTCCCCCCGCTGGCCCGTCCTCCGGGCCCTGTGCTCGGTCACCTCTTTGGGCTGCTCCTGGCGGCAGCGGTTGCTGTTCCACCAAGCCTCCAGCCCGGCCACCAGGCAGGCCAGCAGCAGGCCGGCAGCAAGGATGCAGAAGATGCCGGCGAAGCTGTGCAGCTTGAGGGAACGGCCGTCAGGATGCGCGCTGGCGTGGCTGTTGAGGTCGCAGCGGCCGGTGCGAGGCCACCACTTCTGCTTCATGATGTCCAGGTCGCCTTTCTCCTGTAGCTCCAAGATCCTGAAGAGGGACAGATGGACAGGTGAGTCAAAGACACATTTTAACTTATATTACGTTTACTGTGCATTGATCATAGGATAACACAACGAAACAGTGCAATGTGTGTATCTTTTGACATTTTGAGAACCCCTTGAAGAGTATGTTACAAAAATGATGAAAAGGTCATAGGATTGTATAGTTGGCAAAGAAAAAAAATCAAATAAAAAATCATGAAAAAACCCATGGTATAATATGTCATCCAAAATCATGAAAGAACTTCAAAAATGTCATAAAAAATAACAAAAAAAAAAGTCATGGGATAATAAATTGTCAACAATCATGAAAAAACACCATACAATAGTATGTCCTTAAAAATCACAAATAAATCACCATATTTAAGTATAGTCTGTCTTCAAAAATGGCGAAAAAAACTTCATAATATAGTATGAAAAAAACCCACAAAAAAATGTTGTAGTATAGTACGTGTCAAAAATAATAAAAAAAATTCCATAGAGCAATATGTCATCAACAACCAAGAAAAAACATCATAGTATGTCCTCAAATATCATGAAAAAAAATGTCATTGTATAGTATGTCATCTAAAATCATAAAAAAAGATCATAGAATAGCATGTCGTCCAAACTCATGAAAAAATGTCAAAATAATATATGTGTTTGAAAATCATGACAAAATGTCATAGTATAGCATGTTGTCCAAAATCATGAAAAAATATTAAAGAATAGCATGTTGTCCGAAATCATAAAAAAAAATCATAGCATTGCATGTGGTCGAAGATCATAAAAAAAACATCATAGGATAGCAGGTGGTTAAAAATCATGAAAAACACATCACAGTAGAGCATGTTGTCCGAAATGAAAAAAAACGCTATAGTATAGTATGTCGTCCAAAATCATTAAAAAAAAAAAAACATCATAGGATATCATGTCATCCAAACTCATGAAAGAACGTCAAAGTAATGCATGTGGTTGAAAATCATGAAAAAACGTCCTAGTATAGCATGTCTTCGAAAATAATGAAAAAACGTCGTAGAATATCATGTCGTCCAAAATCATGAAAAAAAATTTATAGTATGTCGTATAGTAGTATAGTATAGCATGTTGTCCGAAATCATGAAAAAACCTCATAGTATAGCATGTCGTCCAAAGTCATTAAAAAAAAACGCTATAGTATAGTATGTCGTCCGAAATCATAAAAAAAAAAATCATAGGATAGCATGTCGTCCAAAGTCATTAAAAAAAAACGCTATAGTATAGTATGTCGTCCGAAATCATAAAATAAAAAATCATAGGATAGCATGTCGTCCAAATTCATGAAAGAACGTCAAAGTAATGCATGTCCTCGAAAATAACGAATTAACGTAGCAGTATAGCATGTTGTCCGAAATCATGAAAAAACATCATAGTATAGTTTGTCATCCAAAATCTTAAAAAACGTCATAGTGTAGTATGTCGTACAGAATCATGAAAAACCATTAAAGTATAGTATGTCGTCCGAAATCATGAAAAAACGTCACAGTAAAAGCATGTTGTCTAAAATCATAAAAAAAACATCATAGTATATCATGTATATCATTAAGGACATGTGTACCCAGCCCGAAGGGTTACCGGGGGCCCCGCCCTGGAGCCAGGCCTGGGGTTGGGGCCCGTGGGCGAGCGCCTGGTGATCGGGCCTTCGCCCATGGGGTCCAGCCGGACCCAGCCCAAACCAGCTACATGGGCTCGTCCCCCTGCAGGCCCACCACCCGCAGAGGGATCCAGAAGGGATCGGTGCAATGTGGATTGGGCAGCAGACCAAGGCGGGGGCCTTGGCGGTCTGATCCTCGGTTACAGAAGTTGGCTCTTGGGACATGGAATGTCACCTCTCTGGCGGGGAAGGAACCGGAGCTTGTGGAAGAGGTTGAGCACTACCGGCTAGATATAGTCAGCCTCACCTCGACACATAGTTCCGGCTCTGGAACCCTAGTCCTTGAGAGGGGTTGGACTCTCTCCTTCGCTGGAGTTGCTCCGGGTGAGAGGCGGAGGGCCGGGGTGGGCAGATGATCTTCAACTCCCACCTCCGGGAGAGCTTCGACCGCGTCCCGATGGCAGAGGGGAACATTGAGTCTGAATGGGCCTTGTTCCGCTCTGCCATTGTCGAGGCAGCGGTTGTGAGCTGTGGCCGCAAGGCCACTGGGGCCAGTCGCGGTGGTAATCCCCGAACCCGCTGGTGGACACCAGAGGTGAGGGGAGCCGTCAGGCTGAAGAAGGAGGCCTACAGGGCATGGTTGGTCTGTGGGTCTCCGGAAGCAGCTGACGGGTACCGGCGGGCCAAGCGGAGCACAGCGGCGGCAGTCGTGGAGGCAAAAACTCGGGCGTGGGAGGAGTTCGGTGAGGCCATGGAGGAAGACTATCGATCAGCTCCAAAGAGGTTCTGGCAAACCGTCCAGCGCCTCAGGGGGGGAAGGCGGCAACTTGCTCACACTGTTTACAGTGGGGGCGGGGAGCTGCTGACGTCAACTGGGGACATTGTCAGGCGGTGGAAGGAATACTTTGAGGAGCTCCTCAATCCCACCAACACGTATTCCAGTGAGGAAACAGAGCCGGGGGTCTCGGGGCAGGTCGTCCAATTTCGGGGGCAGAAGTTGCCGAGGTAGTGAAGGAACTACGCGGCAGCGGAGCCCCGGGGGTGGATGAGATTCGCCCTGGATATCTCAAGGCTCTGGATGTTGTAGGGCTGTCCTGGCTGACACGCCTCTGCAACATTGCGTGGACATTGGGGGGCAGTGCCTCTGGAGTGGCAGACCGGGGTGGTGGTCCCCATTTTCAAGAAAGGGGACCAGAGGGTGTGTTCCAACTACAGGGGGATCACAATCCTCAGCATACCCGGTAAGGTCTACTCCAGGGTACTGGAGAAGAGGGTCCGGTCGATAGTTGAACCTCAGATTGAGGAGGAGCAATGTAGTTTTCGTCCCGGACGCAGAACCGTGGACCAGATATTTACCCTCGCCAGGGTGCTGGAGGGGGCATGGGAGTTAGCCCAACCAGTCCACATGTGTTTTGTGGATTTGGAGAAGGCTTACGACCGTGTCCCCAGGGGCATCCTGTGGGGGGTGCTCCGGGAGTATGGGGTTGGTGGCCCCTTGCTAAGGGCCATCCAGTCCCTGTACCGAAGGAGCACGAGTCTGGTTCGCGTGGCTGGCAGTAAGTCGGACCTGTTCCCGGTGTGGGTTGGACTCCGCCAAGGCTGCCCTTTGTCACTGGTTCTGTTCATAACTTTTATGGACAGAATTTCTAGGTGCAGCCGAGTGGTGGAGGGTGTCAGGTTTGGTGAAGGGAGGATCTCGTCCCTGCTTTTTGCGGATGACGTGGTCCTCCTAGCTCCATCGAACAGTGACCTCCAGCTGCTCCTCCACATCGAGAGGAGCCAGTTAAGGTGGTTCGGGCATCTGGTAAGGATGCCTTCCAGACGCCTCCCTTGGGAGGTGTTTCGGGCATGTCCACCCGGGAGGAGACCTCGGGGCCGCCCCAGAACACGCTGGAGGGACTACATCACCCGGCTGGCCTGGGAACGCCTCGGGGTTCCCGCGGAAGAGCTGATGGAAGTGGCTGGGGAGAGGACTGTCTGGGCTTCTTTGCTGAGGCTGCTGCCCCCGCGACCCGGACCCGGATAAGCGCAGGACGACGACGAGTATATCATGTCGTCCGAAATCATGAAAAACGTCATAGTATAGCATGTCGTCCAGAATCATGAAAAAAACGTCATAGTATAGCATGTCGTCCAAAGTTATTAAAAAAAACGCCATAGTATAGTATGTCGTCCAGAATCATAAAAAAAAGTCATAGTATAGCATTTCGTCCAGAATCATGAAAAAACATTAAAGTAAAGCATGTTGTCTGAAATCATGAAAAAAACGCCATACTATAGCATGTCGTCCAAAGTTATTAAACAAAACGCCATAGTATAGCATGTCGTCAAAAATCATGAAAAAAAAATCATAGTATAGCATGTTGTCCAGAATCATGAAAAAATGTCATAGTATAGCATGTCGTCAAAAATCATGAAAAAAAAAAATCATACTATAGCATGTCGTCCGAAATCATGAAAAACACCTCATTGTATAGCATGTTGTCAAAAGTTTTGTTTTCTGATTCCAGGGCAGCAGACCTGACTGACTGCAATCATTGGTATTGGACACATCTTGCAGTACCCTGGCAGACCTCCTCACCAGATCAGACCAGAGTTGTCTTTATTTCTTGTCTATTGTCTTCACAGCACAGCACCCAAACATGCCTACAATACCTACTCTTTTGGTTAATAAATGACTTCATTTGTGAATTTGCCCCTGTGTCTCCCTCTTTTTGTCTGGCCTGTTATAAAAAAAACTCTTGGGAAGTCTTTAGAAAGTCAGACAAGTATGTTATATAAAAAAGTCAAGGTTCAACACATTATAAGATGTCATAGTATAGCATGTAGTCCAGAATCATGAAAAAACGTCATAGTATAGAATGTCGTCAAAAATCATGAAAAAAAAGTCATAGTATAGCATGTCTTCAAAAATCATGAAAAAACGTCATAGTATAGTATGTCGTCCAGAATCATGAAAAAACATCATAATATAGCATGTCGTCAAAAATCATGAAAAAAAAGTCATAGTATAGCATGTCTTCAAAAATCATGAAAAAACGTCATAGTATAGTATGTCGTCCAGAATCATGAAAAAAAATCATAGGATAGCATGTCGTCCAGAATCATGAAAAAACGTCATAATATAGCATGTCGTCCAGAATCATGAAAAAAAATCATAGGATAGCATGTCGTCC